GGCCGAACCAACGATCTATACAGAGGCACAATTATAGACTTGTCCCTGCAATACATCCCCTTCTTAATACAGGACAAGACCCTGCTAGCTTTGTTTACCGCAGCTTGGCACTGCAAGCTACCATTCAGTTTGTGGTCTACAATGACCCCCAAATCTTTTTCTATTTCTGACTTCCCTAGCGGCATACCCATGATTGTATAGCCTATTTGTTTATTTTTATGTCCAAAGTGCATTACTTTGCATTTATCGACATTAAACCTCATCTGCCATAGTATTGCCCACTCCCCTATTTTATCCAGGTCCTCCTGCAATGTTATATTGTCACGATCCGTTTCTAGTACCCTCCCTATTTTTGTATCGTCTGCAAACACGGAAACATGGCTATTTATTCCCTCCCCGATGTCATTAATGAATAGGTTGAACAGTATCGGACCCAGCACAGATCCTTGAGGCACACCGCTCATTACACTAGCCCAGTCCGAAAAGGTGCCATTTACAGATACTCTCTGGACACGTTCCCGTAGCCAGTTCTCTATCCACGTACACACCACCTCATCTATGCCCATAGCCCTCAGCTTGTGAAGTAAGCGCTTGTGTGGTACCGTATCAAATGCCTTTGAGAAATCCAGATATACCACATCTACCGGCTTCCTTCCATCCATATCTCTGCTTACCCCCTCATAAAAAGTTAGCAAGTTAGTCAGACAGGAACGGTCTTTCCTGAACCCATGCTGATTGTCATTAACTATGCCCTTATCCTTAACAAATTTTACCAAATAGTCCTTAATTATACCTTCTAACAGTTTACAAACTACCGATGTTAGACTGACCGGCCTATAGTTCCCTGGTTGGCATCTAGCCCCCTTTTTGAATATTGGAACTACCGTAGCCCTCCGCCAATCACATGGTACCCTACCAGTCACTAAGGATTCCTTAAAAATTAAGAATAATGGTCTTGTTATAACCTGGCTTAGTTCCCTAAGTACCTTGGGGTGAAGGTTATCTGGTCCAGCTGCTTTATTTGCATTAAGCATTTTAAGTCTTTGATCTATTCCGCTTTTCGTCAACCATTGCGGTACATTATCGGTTGAACTATGTGTTTTATCACGAACCCGTTTCCCTCCTGAGTGTATACTGAGGAGAAAAAATTGTTCAGCGCCTCGGCCCTCTCCTTGTCACTTGTGAGTAACTTCCCATTTTCGTCATTTATTGGGCCTATCTGCTTCTTTCTCACCTTTTTACTGTTAATATATTGGTAGAATTTTTTAGGGTTTTTTTACTATCTGCAGCGATATGCCTTTCGCATTCTAGTTTAGCTTCCCGGATTACTAGTTTGCATTTTTTGTTACATTCCTTGTAGTTAAGGAACGCCAATGCCGTCCCTTCCATCTTATAAATGCCATTCTCTTTGCCTTAACATGTAGTTTTACAGTTTTATTTAGCCATATCGGTTTAGTCTTTGATCTTCTGTTTTTGTTATCCAATGGTATACACTTTGAAATGGCAATATGTAATGTGTTCCTGAAGCAGTCCCACATTTGGTCTGAGTTTAGGTTGTGAAATGAGTTATCCCATTTTATTTCCCCCACAGGTTTGCGCAACTTATCGAAGTTTGCCCTTCTGAAATTTAGGGTTCTTGTCGGTCCCGCCCTCTTTCCTTTCCTGCATTTAATATTGAAAGTAATCACATAAGTTTTTAACGTAAAAGCAAACTGCCCCCCCCTTCTCCCACATCTGTCCCTCCTGAATAGGTTATATCCCTCTATATTAGTAGCCCAATCATGTGTGCTGTCTAGCCAGGTCTCCGATATACCCACTATATCGAAGTCCTCTTCGAGTATCATAATTTCAAGCTCTTCTAATTTATTTACTAGACTTCTAGCGTTGGTGTACATACATTTAATTCCTGTCTTGTTATGGGACAAAAGTTTATATCCTACTTGTTCCCCACTAGTTTTATTGTTTGGCCTTGATGTTGGTGTTCATTTCTTATTTTATTCACTTCTGACAACATATTTGCTACATTGACTGTTTCTGCTATTTTAACCTCGGTGATTATTTTAGCTGTGTTGACTGGAGTGAGCCCACTGTCTATTCCTCTATTACTTCTTTCTGTATTATTTTTTTAATCTAAGAAGAATTTATCTCCATTTGATTTAAGTAATTTTATTTTAAGCCCACATTAAGGTGCAGCCCGTCTCTGCTGTAGAGCCGGTAGCCGACTGCAAAGTCAGCCCAGTTCTGCAGGAGTCAGCCCAGTTCTCCAGGTTGTAAGGTGTATGGCCAGCTTAAGGATTAGGTTACAGTGAGGGTTAGAAGGATCGTTAGTGTGAGGGTTGTAGGGATAGTTAGTTAGGATTAGGTGATAAGGCGGGTTAGTGTGATGGTGTTAGGGATGGTTAGTGTTAGGTTACTGGGTAGGCTAGTGTCAGGGTTACAAAAATGTTTATTGTTAGTTTGCTGTGATGATTAGGTTACAGGGATAATTAGAGTTAGGGTGCCCACACACCTTACCATAATCGTACTATAATTGTGGGAAATCCTGCGATCGTACGATTATCGTAAGGTGTGTGGAAGCCGTGCGACCTCTACTACTGTAAGGTCGCACGACTTTTAACTTGTGAGCATGTTCGAAAAGCTGCCGAGAATCGTACGATGTTTGGTGGGTGTGTAGCATGTTCGTAAGATAAAAGCCGGACCGGCCGGTGTCCGCAAGCGCACACTGCCCGTTCGGCATTTCGGTCATCGGAAGCCCGCCCCTCAGGGGGGCGCGGCTTGCGATCATCGCAAGTACGATCTGCCTAGCCAAGATGGGCAGATCGTACGTTTTATAAAATGACCTTACAACCATCGCAAGACAAAAGTCTTGCGATGGTTGTAAGGTGTGTGCCCAGCATCAGGATCAGGCTATGGGGAGGGGTTAGTGTGAGGAAATTCTTATACAGATTAGCTCAGAGGGGAGAGGAGGTTAACACATGGCTGTGTGCTTATTTGGGAAATGTCTACTTCGTTCCTTTCTTGAAGATTGGCATAACGTCTGGGTATTGGAAAAAACAGAAAGAAACGGAAATATTTACCTACTTCCTGTCTAATATGAGTAAGACAGAACATGAAGTGAAGGAAAATCAACTCTACAAAGGACACAGGAACCAAGAAAAGCACCTCTGCTAGCAGAGTGAAGCTGGCCTTACAATGCTCTAATTTCAAGCCATGGGCAGCCCTGTTTGACAAAATTTGATATACAAATCAACTGATCTGGGTGGAAAATTATCAGCTGAACAGTGACTTTGTTCTATCAGGTGCAGTCACTGTTTGGGTATACTGACAGCCACGGGTGCTGTGGCTGCTTCAATACAATAGCCCAGTAGGAATTGAAGTGCCACACAAAATAGTCCAGATACAACTTTATTCCATTAGGGTCGGGGGGGGTCAAGTAAAGTAGCCAACATGTTTCAGGGGTCCAAAACATGCCCCTTTTGTGAATAACCTTGTAAGAGAATAACCACACGGGGCCATTCTTTCTTTCCACACTTCATGAATACAATTGCAGGCAGTGCAGATTTCTTCATCCATGCTGTTTAGTGTGAATGGAGAAATCTCTTGTTCAGCCCATTGGCTATACAAGATAAATATACAGTGTGTGTATGGCTACCTTAAGGAAGGTTTAGGACTTGTCTGGATTTAATTGTTGCCTGTGTTCCCATGAGATAGATTTCCCCAGCTTTACTCAGGGAACCTGATCCCCTTCTTGTTAGACATTGCAGTGCGGCCAACCAGCACATAGGATTAGCTAATACAAGGCAGTCATAGATTTTTGAATTTGCTGTGCCTGTGTCCAAAATGGGCATACTACAACAAAAACAATCTAAGGTAGGAAAAAAATAAAGTTTATTGTTTTGGTTTTTACCTGTCCCTTACTCGCTGATAAAATGTAGTACACTGGAACATTAACAATTTTCAGTGTGGGAAAAAAAAACCCAGTCTGAGCAGAAATGGTCCATGCAAGCAGATTATACAGCTGGTGTACATGACCTGTTTACCTACCAAAAGATTTGTCAGTCTGTTAGGTCGCTCCTTTGAATCACACATGACAGACACACTATATACCCAACAGGTGACAGTGCTATGTCCTGCCTCCTCCAGTCTGCTCACAGGGGAGTGAATGAGTATAAGTAAACCATGGAGGTCTTCTAACTAACTAGACATCACCCTCCTCTTTTCCAGAGAAACATATCAGGATGACAGAGTGATGCAATAAAATAGAACCCAGTTGGCTCATAGAGCAGTTACCCCCACTTCCAGCCTGATTTTTGGTCTGCAGAAGATTATGGGAAATTAATATGAAGCAAGATTTCACATGCATTTAGGAATAATTCAGATATTGTAAAACATCAATGAATGAATTAATTTTAAAAACAACTATTTCTTTTTAAATGCAACAGGTGTAATCACTTGAATTTGACTTGATATCAGCCTCTTGTATTGCCCTGTACAGCAGAACTAAGGGTGCCCATACACCTGCCGATTATCGTACACCAAAACACAACTGCACTGAGATTTCAAAGCTGGAAGCTCCTCATCTGGTGTTGGTCTTATGAGAGATTTTAGGATTGGGTTTATTTCCTCCATACAACAAGCTTGCGGAACTGAATAAATGTAAATACATTGGAGAAAACAGTGCCTCATTGATGTCTCTACCTCCCAGTGAATTTATAGGTCATACTCTTAACATCCCTTGGTTCAACCATCACATGTATTATCTACAATTACACTAGACACGTTTGATAACAGTAGCTGTGGAAAAGGAATGTGGTACCCATATTTCGGCTTCATTATTACAACTATTTCAAGGATCCCCAATATAATCCATGGAGGTCTGAGCACAGGTTGTACAGCTATGCCAATCTCAGCAACAGGTCCAGAATAGAAAATGCCAGCATCATATTTACACGCATCAGCCACCAGATGGCACCATTTCCAAATCAGTTTAGCAGGAACAAAAAAAGTGAAGGGTGGAAGTCTATGTTCCGTCTAACAAATGAACCTGTGCATTGTTGTCACAGCCAGAGAAAGGGACGAAATAAGGGGTGAACAGTAGGTCTTTGAAATTCTGTCCTTAGAAAGATCAGCGACTTCACATTGTCACTGCGACTTCTTTGGGCTTCGGCTTTTCCACATTATGTATGTCACAAAGATACCTAGTGGAAAAGAATAACTCAAATGTTATATAGGTATAGATGTATAAAATACATATTTCAGCAATGTCCCATATCTATATTATATATATATATATATATATATAGCATTATCCCATGACACTCTACATCAGAAGTGGGCAATTCATTTTCTCAGGGGGCCACATGAGAAACTGGGACTGTTGTGGAGGTGTATAGGCACACACGCACATACATGAATTGATAGAAAAGAAAATCTGATGGGAGCAACTAGTGTAGGGGGCATTCCAATGGATGCAACTAATAATTAGTCCTCATCGGAGTGCCCCCTTACATTAGTTGTCCCCATCAGAGAGCCCCCTTACATTAATTACCAAAGTGTAGGCACTCCAATGGAGGCAACTAATGTAAGGGGGCACTCCGATGAGGACAACTAATATTAGTTGTCCACATCAGATTGCCCCCTTATTTTTGTAGTTAATGTAAGAGGGCACTTTGATAGGGGCAACTAATGTAAGGGGCACCTTGATGGAGATAACTAATTAGTTGTCCCCATTAGAGTGCCCACTTATGTTGTTTGTCCTCATCAGAGTGCCCCTTCATATTATTGTTCCCACATACCTTATTTTCCTACCTTAGTAGGGCAGGGGTGGTAGCCGTTAGGGGCAGGGAACACATTTGACATCACTGGTTGCTATGATTGCCCGGTATTCCTAGAAACCAATGAATGCGGACGGGGTGGACACCTGATATCATTGGTTGCTAGGACGCCAGCGAGCCTAGCAACCAATGACTGAAGTGGAGGGAGCCTGCGATCGGGTATGGATTGTGGTAGATGCACTGGCCTTAGAGGCCGGAGCATCCACTGTCAGCCAGCCATGTCCAGGCTGCGGGCAGGACAGGGACAGCCAAAGGGCCAGATGTGGCTTGTGAGCCGTAAAATGTCCAGGCCTGCTCTACATGAAAGTCAGCAAAAGTGAATGGGGGGGGGGGGGGTCGGGGGCTTTAAAGAGACCCTGTCATTTTGCCTTAAACGACAAGGTCTCTTTATGGTTCCTTTTCACATGGTGTTCTGATCAGGCACGCCTGTCAATTTTGCAGGCGGACCTGGTTGAAATCTCAATGTTAGCCTATGGGCTTCCGTTGTAGCGGATCTGTACTGGACGGTTTGGATGTACTGGACACATGTCTGCTTACATCCGACTATTCATAGACCTAATATGGATCCAGTTAGTTGTTTTTTTTACTTCAACTTGCGAACAAACATGGATGTCACAAAAGTGACATCCATTCCATACTGCTCTGATCAGCAGGGGATCCGTGGAGAGATCTCCTGCTGACTGGAGCCCATGTGAAAGGGGCCTATAGAACTAAACTACATATGATTATCACAACATCAGCAGAAAATCCTGAAAACAACTATTGTGGGTGTAGTGGAAATGTAGATCTGGGGATTTATCCAGCCAACCACTGTACAAAAGAAGACTGAATGTTAGAACAGAGATCACAACATTCCCACTGGAATGTGAGTGACTTACCCATGAGCAGAAGCAGAATTAAAGCAGCCACTAGGGGTAGCAGCACGGCGTACTCTCTTGGCAGGAAATAAGAATGGATTACATGATCGCTGTCAATAAATGGCTGGAGAAAACAAACAGGATTGTGTTACAAAGCTTGGATCAATTAGACATATAAAACATACATTGTTTATACATATCATTTATTACAACTAGTGATCACAAGTCAAGCATAGCTGACAAAATACAAGTGCATGACAGATTAAAGGACACCCAAAAATGATTTCAAGCTGAACTCTGGCCTTCCCTTCAGTCTTCCACAGTTGTACCGGCCTCTCTCCTGGGCTGAAATTGCTCACTCTAATTTTACTGTACACTGTGAGCTTGTGCATTAGAAGCTGCCGCCAGTCAGATAGAGCCCGCCTCATTTCCTGGCTGGAGGACGTCCAACACCACCTAGCCCTTTCCTCCCTGCGTGCAATGCAGCCTGCATAGGAACACCCACTGCTTTGGGTTGATATCCACCTATCATTGAATTTTGATATATGCATAACTCCTCCCAGGAGCCAACCCACTGCTTGCATCAACGCTTAAGAGTACTGAGGCCCCTCCCACTGGTCACGATCTGCCTACATTTCATAGAGAGCCACAGAGGCCTGGTGATGACATTTCTGGGTCTAAAATAAGGTAATAAAAAAAAAAAAACAGCTTTTATTTGAAAATGCCATTAGCATGTTTATTGGGATGGAGGGAAAAGAGAAAGAAAAATATAATCTGATTAAGCTTAAATTAGAGATTAGTGTGCTGAATCATTCAGTTACTTGAGCAGATATCTCAGGGATTATTATGCTAATTTCTCCCCACAAGAGTTTACAGCTTTTGCTGCAACGAGCAATGTCGCCTCATCCTTAAAGCAGTTATCACATCATATAAACACTTAGGACCTGTTCACTTAAGTTTCAGGTCCTGATCAGGTGCGGATCTGCAGACGCGGTGCTGTGTTTTTGCCGCGTTGTTGATGGGTTCCAGTTTTTTTTTTGCTGGAGTGGGGCTGTCAGTATGTTAGCTGCAGTGCAGTGCAGTGCGTTTTTGACACGTTTTGACGCGTTTTGCGTTTCCTGACCGTACAAAATGTGACATGCAGTATTTTTCTGTCGTAACCTGAATGGACTGCGCACGTGACAACTGCAGCCCATAAAACACATAGGGATACATTGGGATGCATTTTTAGTGCAGGAGCGTACGGATCAGGTCAGCACAGAAAACGGACGTCGTGTGAACAGGCCCTTACTGTTAGGGATGCAGCGATACCAGTTTTTCCGCTATCGAGTAAAAATATGTATCTTTCGATACTTGTCGTTTCTGAGTACCCATATTGGTACTTGCGCTAGCATAAAGCCAGGTGGCGTGCCAATCAAGAAGCCGGGTGGCGTGTCATTACCCGCCGCCCAGCTTCTTGATTGCCCAGGAAGCCTGCTCCATGCTGTTTGGCCGGGAAGCCTTCCCAGCCAATCAGCATCGAGCTGTGGTCAATACGTTTCCCTATGATCAGTACTTTCACTTTAACAGGCAATAGTTGGGCTTGCTGATTGGCCACTTGAGCACTGCATTGAGGGTGAGATGGTGTCTCCCCTGTGTCTCACACCCTGAAGTATTATTATTATACAGGATTTCTATAGCGCCAACAGTTTGTGCAGCGCTTTACAATATAAAGAATTCGAATACAATTCAAGACAAGATGGTAAGCAGGGCCCTGCCCCTGAGGGCTTACAATCTAAAAGGGAGGGGGAGGGGAGCAGGTGGTCAAAAACAGTGTCAAAAGCAGCAGAAAGGTCTAATAGCAAGAGTAAGGAGTAGTGGCCATTGTGTTTATCTATTAGTAAGTCATTAGTGAGTATTAGGAGGGCGGTTTCAGTGGAGTGTAGGGGGACGAAAGCCAAACTGTAAGGCTCTGTTCACACCTAGGCGTATCGAATATGCGCGATTCACGGTAAAAAAACGTGCGACAAACGCGCGTTTTACGAGGGCTACTTGGCTGTATCCCAATGGAAACGCGCCGCAAAGAAGCTCATGTACCTTTTCAGGCGTAGGCCGTTTTGTAGCGCGTTCAGACGGGCTGAAATACGGCAAGGTGTGAACCACACCCATAGAAAACAATGGCATTTTCATGTTTGAGCGTTTTGTAGAGCATTGAACGCGCTACAAAACGTACAGGTGTGAACCAGGCCTAAGGGATTGAGAAGATTGTCATCAGTGAGCTGGGGGCTCAGGCGGCTGTGGATAATGCGTTCTAGTAGTTGGAAGGTGAATGGTAGTTAGGAGATAGCTCTGAGATTGTTGAGGTTGGTAGGGTCCAGTGAGGGTTTTTTGGGTATTGGGGTGACCAGTGCATGCTTTGGAAGGGAGGGAAAGGTGTCAGTAGAGAGTGAGAGATTCAAAATGAGGGTGACCAAAGTAGTGGTGAGGGAACTGGGTCCAGGGGGCAAGTGGTAAGGTGGGTGCCAGAGAAAGGCTTTGTAATCTCCTCTGTGGTGACAGGATCAAAAGAGGAAAGTAACAAGTGTGATGGTGGGTCTGCTACATGAATAGGGGAAGGTGACTGGACAGTGGGAATTTCATCCTCGATTGCATCTATTTTGTTTTTGAAATGAATGGCAATGTCCTGGGCAGTGAGGGAGTTAGTGCGTGGTGGAGGTGGGGGACATAGTAGAGTTAAAAGTAGAAAAGAGTTGACAAGGTCTGGATGAGTGTTAATGAGAGAGACAAAATAAGTCTGTTTGACAGCCCGGAGGGAGGAATTATATTTTAGGAGGGCAGCTTTATACAGGGTGAAGTCTTGCAGAAGCCTAGTTTTCCGCTACAGTTGTTCAAAAGCGTGGCTGTCTTTTTAGATGTCTGGTTTCTTTTGTTTGCCACGGTTGTAGTGGACGTTGTCTAAGTCTGCGTGTAGTGAGGGGTGCCAAAGTGTCTAGAGAGGATGAGAGCGAACTGTTGTAGACAGAAACAGCCAGGTCAGGGGTGAGATTTTGTCATAGAGGTAGTAAGTAGCAAAGAAGAGCAGGGTTGAGGTGGCGAAGGTTTCTCAGGGTCATGGGATTACAGTGGATCCTAGCTATGCCATTCAATTTTCACCTACCAGGCAGATGACCCACACTGTGTAATAGAGGAAAAGGACCGCACTGAATGCCACCAAACTGGCTCCCGCCAGCCGATCACTTCCGGTGGCCTGCAAGACAAGACATATTAAGCGCCACGACAATAACCACAAGATAACCTCACCCCTCCATCACACATGAGCTAATAAACACATTTACTTGTTGCCCAGAGCAGCCAATCAAAATCATTGTGTCATTTTCAGACCTGGACTACAGAAATGACAGCTGGAACCTGATTAGTTACTTTGGGCATTAGGAAATAATCGGCCGTGCGCACTTTTCATACATACACCCTGCAATCACTCAAATCCAACTCACCATATCTCCGTATCAATCAGCACACTTCCGGCTTACACCTCCGACCAATGAAAAACTATTTTCCGCGCCATGCATTCTGGGAAATGTGGTTCTGCCAGGTACACGCAACAGACAACGCTCGCCCCAACTAGATGAGGTATGTCATGTGACTGCGCGGGGAAGGCGGGGCCGAGTGTCGACTGGCTGGAAGGGGATAGAAAAGTGGAAGGCGCCTGAGAAGGAAAGGCGCGTAACGCTGAGAGACTTTGCACAGGACAGCGGCCTCTAGGGGCCAAGTACAGGTACAGTGCGGGGATTTTTCTCTCAGAGAATGTCCCTGGTTTTAGTACTATAACCACCAATTACATGAGAAATGTTCCTTTCACTCCACATTAAAGCATTCTCAGGGGTGCCCATGACTGCACTTACTAAGTTCCTCAACAAACATCCATTGGCTCATCTCCCAGTTACCTCTTTGATGTAAGTTCCTACTTTTAAAGTAAAACCCCTTGCTTATGATTGCTTCATGCCTGTCCCCGTTTAAATTTGGAGGGGTTCAGTTTAGTTGGTGATGTTTAGAGGGATAAGTCCATATACACACCATGAATGTTTGTCAAATGTGCACAAAAGTGTGTGCTTTGACATGCGTTTGTGAAATGCGCCCCAAATGCAGAACACGCTTGTGGTGCCATTAGTACCTAATGACACCCCAAAGGCACCTGAGCAAACAGCCTTTATCCCCTGTGGTTTGGGGGAAAACACAGAGGGGACTTTATCAAAACGGGAGCAGACAAAATCTGAAGCAGTTTCCCACGGTAACCAATCAGCTTCTCTCTTCAGTTTGTTCAGTTAAGATTTGAAAATGAGGGAAAGAAGCTGATTGGTTGTCCTGCACAGCTGCTCCAGTTTTGATAAATTCCACTCAGAATGTATGTTGATGAATTTGCAACATGTACTACTTTCCCACATTTGGTGAATGCCCAAGAACCCATTTAATTCAATGGGGATGTGCATCAAACACGGGAAACAAACGCCCGTGAAGGCACATTCCCACTATGATATGATGTGAATGAGGACCGTGGCAGGTAAAGTTTGGGGGATTTAGTGTGGTGGGTACAATTTAATGGAACTTGGGATTAGATATAGCTGGTATGGTTTGCAGGGGTTTAATGTGGAAGGTAAAGTTTGGTGTCTTTCATTTGAGATACATTTTTGAGGGCATAATGTTTAGCAGGTACAATTTGGGTGGATTCCTATTTCCAGTGGAGGTTCTAGCACTTTCCATTTAATAGGGGAAGCTTAGCAGGTAAAGTTTGGGGGGACAATGTTTGGAAGGATTATATTTGGTAGGTAAAATTTGGGGGGATTTAGTTTGGTAGGAAAAGTTTTGAGGGTTTAGTTTAGAAGATAATGTTTGGGGGTATTCCATTTAGTGAACCACTTTTAGATTGTAAGCCCTCACGGGCAGGGCCCCCCTTACCATCCTGTCTTGAATTGTATTGTAATGTCTTCCTTATATTGTCAAGCGCTGCGCAAACTGTTGGCGCTAAATACATTCTGTATAATAATAATAATAATAATGTATTGGCATTCTGTTTAACAGTAAAAGTTTGGGGGAATGCAGTGTACCGGGTAAAATTTGGAGTCATTGAAGGGAATGTATCAAAATCTGGAGCAGCTGTGCATGGCAACCAATCAGCCTCTTTCATTTTTCACTCTTAACTGAACAAACTGAAGAGAGAAGCTGATTGGTTGCCACACACAGCTCCAGTTTTGATAACTTCCCCCGATTATGTATTAGCGGGTAACATTTTAGAGATTTCCATTTAGCCGGTAGCATTTGGGGGCATTTCATTTAGCAGTACACTATGGGGGCTTTCAAGTTTTGGCACATTCTGTTTAGAAAGTGAACTTTGGGCATATCATGTATTGGAGTTTAAAATTCCATTTAAGAGGTATAGTGTGGAAGCATTCTGTTTTGCAGTGATAGTTTGGGGGGATGTAGTGTAGCAAGTAGGCCTGGTTCCCACTGAGCATGTTGTTGCAGCTGATTCACACACATTGCAATTGGTTTTGTGCCTTTTTACGTGAGTTTGCGCATGTTTTTGCCATTTATGTCACTGTGTCACAATCTGCAATCTGCTCATGAAAACGTGCAGCCAAAAAAAGCAAATTTCTACGCACAAAATGTGTGAATCTGGCCGTAAGGTTTTATGGGTCCTGTTTATCAGGATTCATCTTTACAGGTAAAGTTTAAAGGCATTCTATTTTAACTGTTAAAGTT